TGACTTTCAAATAAATAAATCTTTAAAAAAAAAAGCAGTGTAAGACTCTCCTTCCCTAAGCCTGTCTCAGTAATAAATTAGGAATTGCCCTTTATCTAGCCTTTTTCTCATTTACTCCTCACAACCTATGAGAATGACGTTATTTTAGGGGTCATTACACAAATAAGTAAAGTAAGGCCTGGGAGTTATGAAAGTAACCTTGCCTAATCAGTTAGAAAATAGGAGTGAAAGTCTGCAACAATTACATTATCCATGCCCCTAAACGTCATGCTACATTAGCTTACATGGCTTCAATTTGTCATTCAGTAAACTCTATGGTTGAAACAGTTGATTTTGGGGCCGGCCCCGTGGCTCACTTGGTTAATCCTTCGCCTGTAGCACCAGCATCCCATATGGGTGCTCGGTTCTAGTCCTGGTTGCTCTTCTTCCAATCCAGCTCTCTGCTGTGGCCCAGGAGGGCAGTGGAGGATGGCCCAGTTGCTTGGGCCCCTGCACCCCCATGGGAGACCAGGAGGAAGCACCTGGCTCCTGGCTTTGGATCAGCACAGTGCCACCCATAGCAGCCATTTGGGGAGTGAACCAACGGAAGGAAGACCTTTCCTTCTCTCTCTCTCTCTCTCTCTCTCTCTCACTGTCTATAACTCTACCTATCAAATAAGTAAATAAAAAATAAAAAAAGAAACAGGTGATTCTGAAATTTTTTCTGGTTCGGTAAAAACTTTTATGCTCTTAGGTGAAATACGAGACAAGAGACCAAAATCACAAAGGTACAATGCCACCAACCACCAAATAGATCTTATCATCAGTGCCTTTCAACATACAAGAAGGGAGATTGCAAAGTTAAGCTTCCAAAATGAGTTGAGAAGTCACTCCAAAATATTAACAACTCTGTCATAAGAAAATTGTATAATAGAAATGAATAACATTTCATGTAGCATTCGTGGCCTATATAACATTCTGTGTTTTAAAAAAGATTTATTTATTTATATGAAAGTCAGAGTTACATAGAAAGAAAGAGTTATGTAGAGAGAGGGAGATATATATATATATATATATAGAGAGAGAGAGAGAGAGAGAGCTTCCATCCACTGGTTCACTCGCAAAATGGCCTCAACTGCCAGGGCTGGGCCAGGCCAGAGCCAGGAGCCAGGAGCCAGGAGCTACTCCCGGGATCCCACATGGATGAAGGGGCCCAGGGCTTGGACCATCTTCTGCTGCTTTCTCAGGCACATCAGCAGGGAGTTGGATTGGAAGTAGAGCAGTCAGGACTTAAATCGGTGCCCATATGGAATGCCGGCACTGCAGACAACAACTTAAACCATTTTGCCACATTGCCAGTCCCAACATTCTATTCAATAGTTCATATAGTTGAGCTCTTTTGCAAATGATGTCAAATGTCTATTCCACGTGAACACAGTAAGAGACTCAATTTAACTGCAATGTTCTACATGTAGTCAAGGTACTCAGTCAAGGACAATTTACATCTCCTTGGCACTGGCATGGACATTTCTCCAATCCTCATTTTAAAGTACATCATATATATAAGAATGTAGATGTTTTCATTTGATTCTCATTTCTGATTTTTTTCATATACCTTTGCAAACCTTAGTAAATATCTGATTATTCTCAATACTTGAAAAGATACCTTAAGGTGACAGCACCCTAACCGTATATTTTCTTATGAAAGAAGTAAAAATCAGAAGACTTAGTTGCCATTAATTTTTTTAAACTCAGTGATAGAGTAAATTGCAAGTATTCTAGTTATTCACTATAACACAAAAGGAAAGCCAAAGAGAATATTTTGTCCTTGACTTCATTGTTAAGTAAACAAACTAATAGGCATTAAGGCTGATCTATTCAGGAAACACTGTTTGCACCAGAGAAGCTAAGATTGCAAACTGAGTTTCTAGAGGTTAATTTTGGTCCTCTCTTTCTCTTCCTTTTTCTCTTCCTCCTTCTCCTCCTCAAGCTCCTCTTCCTCCTTCTTTTTCTTCCCTTTCATTCTTTACAGAGGCCATAAAAATCAAAAAGATTGTTTAGAATAGAGAATCTGAGTGTAATTGAAATAAATGATCTCAGTAACACAAGGTAAAACTTGTTTATTTTGTGTATATCAATCAGTTTAAGTTCAGTGCTGGATTTCTTCTTGAAAATATTCATTTGACACTCTTTCTTATAAAAAATGTGTTGTTAAAAGCAAGGTTTTTCTTGTGATCTATTTTTCAAGAAAAGACAATCTAGTAAAAAAGAGGACACTCAACAAAATTCAGTAACAAGACTTCTCAATGCTCTCTTCCTAGAATTCATTGACACTTTGTTAGAGTCGTGAACAGTCTGTAGACTAAATTAATCCATCAAGAAATATGGATCCAGTTAACTTTACTAGCAAATTCTGTGGCTGAATATAAAGTTATTGAAAATGTTAATCAAGGAGAGTGTGATGAAGGAGTAAAGTATTACAATATTTGTTCTGACATCCAAAGTGAAAGTGAAACTCTGTAAGATACTTAGCTTATAGAAGGCTTAAAATAATGTTGAAATAAATGAATACATAATGAATATATTACCTCACTTAAGCCTCACAACTATGAGATGCAGTAGATTCTATCATAGTCCTTTTATGCTGATGAGTTTGAGACTCACAGGTCAAATAGCCTAAGCAATAGATTCTAGATTTGAAGTGAGGTATTGTGACCCTGAAGTGTATTCCCTCACCATTATAGTTTCTTGATTGCACACTAGACTTGAAACAACTTTTTCTAAATTATATTTTAATTTACATTGAACCTTAATAGTGTTTGGGGGGTGCTTATTGAAAGAAAAGACAAAAAGTCATAATCTTATTGAGCAAAAGATCATTTTAACATGGTGCACTTTACACTCAGGAGGATGGATGATTTCCACCCAGTCATGCTCTTCTAACCATACATGTTGTTTAGTTTATGTCCTGTGACAACGATAAAATTATTAGGGTAGGTGTTCAAACTATGCTACTTTAAAAACTACTGTGACAGTGCACTACATTTTAGAGTTAGAGATGTGACCAGATTCTTGCAAGGTATGTGACATGATGAATATAGGTTACGACAACTTAGTCTTAACATATCATAGGTTTATTCAAAACTAATGCAAACAGACTGTGGCAGGAGTGGGGAGGGCTGAGAGTAAGAGAGGGGAAAACTTAGGTATATCCATTGATCCATTGCTATTATTTTTTTCATAGACTTCAGAATGATATTTAGACTCAAATGTCAATGGAATATGATATGAAATTAAATAAATCCAATTTTGTGACTAGCCATTGTGATTATACTGATAATTTGTTTATGTCATTGGAAAATATGCCTGACAATTTTAGTGATAAATGTGCTTCTATAAACTTTAGTGAATCATTTACAAAATCTGGTGTTTCATTTTGTATAATATAGAATGCTATTTGTTTGTTGGATATAAAACAGCTATCTTAGTCTGTTCAGGCTGCTGTAAAAATACATACTCTGAGTCACTGTCATCAAAAGAAATTTCTCACAGTGGTGGACACTGGATGTCCTAGATCAGACAGGCAGCTGAATCACCATGTAGTGAGGGCTGTCTTATGGTAAACAAAAAGCTGTCTTTTTCTGAAGTCTCACATGGTGGCAGGGGCAGTGAAACCTCTGAGAACCCTTATATAAGAGCAAGAGTCCCGGCCGGCGCTGCGGCTCACTAGGCTAATCCTCCACCTAGCGGCACCGGCACACCGGTTCCAGTCCCAGTCGGGGCGCCGGATTCTGTCCCGGTTGCCCCTCTTCCAGGCCAGGTCTCTGCTGTGGCCTGGGAAGGCAGTGGAGGATGGCCCAAGTGCTTGGGCCCTGCACCCCATGGGAGACCAGGAGAAGCACCTGGCTCCTGGCTTCGGATCAGCGCGGTGCGCCAGCCACAGCGCACCAGCCATGGCGGCCATTGGAGGGTGAACCAACGGCAAAAGGAAGACATTTCTCTCTGTCTCTCTTTCTCACTATCCACTCTGCCTGTCAAAAAAAAAAAAAAAAAAAAAAAAAGAGCAAGCGTCCCATTCATGAAGCCTCTGTCCTCAAGACCTAATCACCTCCCAAAGTCCACACCGCCTATATCATCTTGGGGTAAGGATCTGACAAATGAATTTTGGAGGAGGACATAATTTGACAAATGGATTTTGCAGGAGGACATAAACATTCAATGTAGAGCACTGCTAATTTAGAAGAGAAGTGAAGGAATTACTCAGATATTAAAAACAACCCTTTATTAATGAATATTATATAATTTAAAGTTTACATAAATATAAGAATTAACGGCAGTACACATACACATTATAAAAAATAGTTACTGTACAGATATGTATTGTCAATTTAAAATCTAGATTTTTTTACAGTCTATGGAGAACAAGGTTCCTCCACTTGAATCTCAGCCTCAATATATTTCTTCACAGAAGCCTTCTCAAACATTCTGACACTGTCAAATGAGGTAAAGCCCCTACATTAGACTTCTATCAAATTCTTTTTACCTGGCATTCAAGAAAGAACATGAAAGCAGAGAAATCTGTGGTCAGCATTGTGATACGGCTGTTGACCTACTGCTTACAATCTGGTTCCAGTCCTGGCTGCTCTACTTCCAATCCAGCTCCTTGCTTCCATGCTTGGGAAGGAAGCAGAAGATGGTTCTAGTGCTTGGGTCCCTGCACTCACGTGGCAGACCTGATGAAACTCCTGGATCCTGGATCCTGGCTTCCGCCTGGCCCAGCTATGGCTGTTGCAACCATCTGGGTGTTGCAGCCTTCTGGGGAATGAACCAGAGGATGAAAGATTCTCTCTCTCTCTCTCTCTCTCTCTCTCTCTCCTCTCTCCTCTCTCCTCTCTCTTCTCTCCTCTCTCCTCTCTCCTCTCTCCTCTCTCCCTCTAGCTCTGTAACTCTTCCTTCAAATAAATAAATAGCTCCCTTCAAAATAAAAAAAAAGATAAGTAGCTTTTTGGTCTGGGCTGCAGAAGAGAGTGGAGGAAAGGAACATCATTTAGAAAGTACAGCAGCAAGATACACACACTGTGCCTCTGCCATGGTTCCAAGGCCTACCACCTTCAGAAGTCAACCTGTGGTAAGTGTGGCTACCCTGCCAAGCGCAACAGAAAGTATAATTGGAATGCCAAGGCTAAAAGATGAAACACACTGGAATTGGTCGGGTAAAGTACCTAAAAACTATACACTACAGATTCAGGCACAGATTCTGTGAAGAATCAACACCTAAACCCAAGAGAGCAGCTGGTACGGTATCTAGCTCATCTTGAGAAAATCAATTAGCTGTGCAATAAAGATTATGGTTTAAATAAATAAATGAAGAACTTTGCTGCCTGGCCTGTAGTAAAGATTTGGAGGCTGACTGCTTAATCAAAGTGTGTCTCATTATTATGGGGAAGCAGAAATGGGCACCCTCCATTCACTCTGAGGATTTTACAAACTTGGTGAAAAGGAATTTTGTTAAAATAGAAGTAAGAAAGTATCTAAATGAAATAAATGCAGATCATTTCATAAAGAGTAATAAAACTTCAATATGTCAAAAAATTGCTCAGTGGCTTAAATATTATCCTGTTATTAAAGAATAGTGTTACAAAAATTTCTGTAATGAGGTCACCTCCTGAAATCAAATCTCTGGAAATGCTTTTTAGTATTTAAATTATAAATTTTTAATAAAAATCCACCCTGCCACTTCTTACAGTGACGAGTTCAGAGGAGATGTTTCTGTGTTATCTGTCCAGTGTTTGCAGATTGCCAGAGGAGCCATGCTGTGCTCTACGATCTTGGCAAAAACCTCAATAACTTTCAAATAGTACTTTGTGGGGAAAACGTGGAAGCTTTGTCTTCCAACAAGCATTAAAATTAAACTGTGTGTTTTTCTACTATGCTCACATTAATGAACTAGTAGCGTGCACAAAACTGTGCGTAAGCACCTTTCCTTGAATCCTGTCATAATAATAAAGCCGTTTCTGAAACTCCCCCTCTTATAAATCATCAGGATTTCTTGATGCCAAATGTTCTGAATGGCAATGGCAGTTTCTGGGCCTCATTCTCACACATTTGAACACATCATCTGTAAAAACGACCTTGCCTCTTACACAATTGCCACATCTTTCATTCTGCAAACAGAGAATTCAGTGATTCAGCAGAAGTACATTAAATGCTTTCTGTGTACCTGGCACTCTACTAAGCCTTGGGAAAACAATATATATGGTAAGGTCATTGCTATCGCACAGAAAAGGTTATATTAATACATAATTGCCAAGCAGTGTGATGAACGCCATGATAGAAGCATCTGTGGCAATTAAGGCTATGAAGGAAAAGGGCTGTCTTTACAAACAGGAGTTCTAGTTTTTCAACACTGGAAGTACCTCTGACATGAAGTGGTTATTTTATACAGAAAAAAAGAAAGATTAGCTTTATTTTCCAAACATGTTTGCCTCATTAATGAGAAAAGCTTTGTGCACTCTTAAAGGATTTGAAATTTTCCTCTACCACTCTCACGATTCTGAAGCTTTAATTTCACTATAGCACTGGCTGAATCCCCTCTGCCTCCTAATTCTCAGCACCCTCCTCCCCACCAGGAAGGAATACTGAGAACAGTGCATGGTGATGACTACCTTCTTTGGATTAAACTTGTTGATATGGTCCCTGCTAGGCTACAGCTTGTTCTATTTTGGCTCCATTTTTATAGGTCGAAGACAATCTATAAAAAGCCAGAACTGTTACTTTCAGCAGCTTCCTTGGAAATCTCTCTTGCACATAGTCTCTGAATGTTGGCTACAGAGTCAGGTCCCCCTTTCCTCTGTGTCCCTTTATCAAGATGATTTGTTTTTAGGTTTGCCTTGATTTTTTGATTTGTAATCTCTACAAATCATCCATCTTCTGATTAGTCTGCAAGCTCCTTGAGATCACATCAGGTATTTTTGTTTTGAAAACAAAAAGAAGAAACAAAAAAGTGCTTCCACACTAACAAACGTTGAAACACAGATAGCAGCCTTCTGGAAAAAAAAAGTTGTTTAGTAAAGGTGGAAAACTTTAACCAGGCTGTCTTAAAACCAGTCACAGTAACTAGATGTGTGTAGAGACAAATGATGTAAATTCTATAAGAGAATATAATAATAATACCGACATTATGAAAGTCATTGTGGCCGGTGCTGCGGCTCAATAGGCTAATCCTCTGCCTGCTGCGCCAGCACACCGGGTTCTAGTCCCGGTCAGGGCGCTGGATTCTGTCCTGGTTGCCCCTCTTCCAGGCCAGCTCTCTGCTGTGGCCAGGGAGTGCAGTGGAGGATGGCCCAAGTGCTTGGGCCCTGCACCCGCGTGGGAGACCAGGAGAAGCACTTGGCTCCTGGCTTCGGATCAGCGCGATGCGCCAGCCGCAGCGGCCGTTGGAGGGTGAACCAATAGCAAAAGGAAGAAAGACCTTTCTCTCTGTCTCTCTCTCTCTCACTGTCCACTCTGCCTGTCAAAAAATAAAAATAAATAAATACATAAATAAAAATTAAAAAAGGAAAGTCATTGTGAGGCTTAGTTTAACTGCGATAATGTACACAGAATCATGTATATAAATGTTCTTCTTTTTATGTCAAGTGTACATGTAAAAGATAATATACCACAAGTAAGTAGCACCATCATGTTATAATAAATTTTATTTTAAAAATTTACCTCCATTTGTGATCCAGAATTCCCTTAGCTACTTAGCAGTTTCATGCTTGCATAGTAATTTCACTACATTTCTAATTATAGTTTAAATCTTTAGTTACTTAAGATAAAAGGCAATCTAACCCAAAAGTGAAAACCTTTTCTATTTATATGCACACTTAACTTGAGGCTATGCTGCGAATAAGAACTTGGATCATGACTGTATCTTGATACTTATCACAGCCTCTTTGTCCTTGCTTCACATCTTGACCCATTTCTTCCCACCCTACCACCCCGTTTCCTCAGTCTCATTTTGGTTACGCAGATCCCCCATAAAACAGTTTACCATCATGTAGCTTTCCATCAGTAAGGCACAACTCACTCTGTGCTTTGATTTCTTCTATTATGTTTTTCTTACTTCTTGAATAAACAACTATGTATTTGGTTGCTGCTACAGGTCAGCTCAGCTATTGAAGTGCTAGGGAACAACAACAAAAGAAAAAGCCCCAGCCCTCCTCCTGCAACACTTTTTTAGTAGAGAAAGAACACAGTAACAAATAAAGAAAACCATCATGAAATATCAGTTTTTAATTAGGGTTGTAATCAATAAAAACTTGGCTAGTGGGGGAGACTAAAACAGTGACAATTTAACAGCAAATATTCTTTTTAGCAGATACGTTTTTAATCATAGCTGAATTCTGGATTTAGTGAATCCGTTCATGAATTGAACTGTATTCTCATTAGTACAATGACTGGCTTGAATCGAAGACACTGTAGGCATTACTAAAAGCAAGTTCCCATTTTACACCCAGTTAAATGTCTAATTATTAACAAAAGATATATATATAACCAAGCTATTAATCTTAAATGCTACAATTAGTCTGTGCTTTGGAAAGAAACTTAGAATATCAGAAAAATGATATTTTATAATATTGAACAAAATTTTAAATGTTTCCACCACTATTTTGATTTAAGATGAGAGGGAATGCAGTTTTCAAAGTCTTAAAATCCTAATTAAGTACCGTTTCAAAGTCTCTCTTTGTAAATGTAAGTTGAAAATGAGTTTAATTTTCATAATAATTAGTCCAAGCCTAGTAAACTTTTTGATGTATTTAATTATAATAATTAATGGCCTGTATCATTTGTAGCTGGTGCTTTAGAAATTTTGCCTACATTCTACAACAGCCATGTGTTGCTTCACAGCACAGCAATGCATTCTGAGATGTTCAATAGATGTTATCACCACAGGAACATCACAGAGGTTGCCTACAAAGACATCTAGTCACTAGGAAATATAGCCTTATGGGATCATTTTCTCTTATATGGCCTATCACAGTTACCAAAACATCATTATGCAATGCTTGTTTATATTTGATTTTAATTCATTTTAAAAATTAGCATTTTTGTTTCCCAGCTTTTTGGTGAGTTAATTTATCTTCTAGAAGCTAGAACAGAATAGCATTAGCATTTCAGTTAAAGTATATTTTCCCTATGGACCATGCCCAACACCTACCTTTTGTTTTCTAATTTCCATTATTCACTACAAAGAACCAAAATCCCTAAATAAACAGGGGAGTGAAGGTACTTGAGCCAGGAAGTACAGTAGTATAGTATACTAACACACAGAGGTATCAACATCTCTATATAGGTAAACATATGCATACAGATACAGTTATGGGTATTGATACAGTTATGAAGATTAAGTAAAAGGAAAAGAAGCCATGTTACAAAGCCTTCCCTAGCTAAAACTGGGAATTATGAACACACTAAAAATTAAACAAGTATAACCCACGTCCTTAAAGCAGAATGTCAACTAATAAATATAGAGGGAATGATGGAGCTAGAAAGTCACTAGCTTGAAACCATGTACTAAGAATTGTTGCGGCAGGAATAATTGGATTTGAAAATTAATAACATATCAAAATAATCTCAAAGTATGTCCCCATAAATCGCTTCTATTGAAGATAGCCAATTCATTGGTAGAAAAATATCTCTTGGTCAAATTCAATAAAGAGTAGAAAATTTTGACTTGTCATGAAATTCACATTTAAACATTTTGCATTGATTTATTGCTATATCAAAAGGGCTGAGCAGGGGGCTGGTGCCGTGGTTCACTTGGTTAATCCTCCACCTGCAGCGCCAGAATCCCATATGGGCACCAGGTTCTAGTCCCGGTTGCTCCTCTTCCAGTCCAGCTCTCTGCTGTGGCCCAGGAAGGCAGTGGAGGATTGCCCAAATCCTTGGGCCCTGCACCCGCATGGGAGACAGGAAGAAGCACCTGGCTCCTGGCTTCGGATCAGTGCAGCGCCAGCCGTGGCAGCCATTTGGGGAGTGAACCATCAGAAGGAAGACCTTTCTCTCTCTCTCTCTCTCTCTCTCTCTCTCTCACTGTCTAACTCTACCTGTCAAATAAATTTAAAAAAAAAAAAAAGGGCTGAGCAGTAAGGAAGTAATAGATGCATAAAGAGTAACCCATTTAAAAATACTAAGGAAAACAGTAATAAGCAAAAATTGATTCAATATATTTTTTATTCTAATGAAGCCTTGCCTTTAATTTCAACGTTTCTAATTTTATGAAAAGTATCACATGGGCCTCATTCATCTTGTAGATACCTATAAGTAATAGGGC